CCCCCTTCACCACTCCCCCAGCCTCTTCCTGCTCTGTGCCTTTCAATCAAGATGCCTGTGGTGGTGCCAGCCCATTTCATGTCTCCTCTGACCATAGACCCCAAGGCCAGCACTCGAAAGTATAGATTCAGCCTCTCCCACGGCTCTAGTCACCTGCAAGGAGAGTCAAAATGCCATTTGGACACACACAAACCTTGATCTGCCCCACCCATTTAGCTCGCCGAGACCCTTCCCTCTTCTACTTTGTACCCTTTGCCCCCTGAATTTGAAATCGCTTCCTGTTTTCTGTCTACCACAGGATGTTTGTCACCCCCTGGCCTTTGCCTGGCTGTTCCACCCTGGGCCTTTCTGTCTAACTCTCCTTCGTTCATCTCCCCTAGGAAGCCAGGAGCCTTCCCTGGCCCTGACCTTGCCCCTTTCATCATCCTTCCCCAACCTAAATGTGCTTATTATTTATTGACCTGGACAGAGGCCTTCCCTGTCTCCTCTTGTCCTTGAGAGTCCTGGGGACTGGGCAGTGTCTTGCTTCTTTGGCCTCAGCCCATCATGAGTTGGTTGGTCCCAGCTCCATTGGAAACCTGTGAACATGTACTGAAGCTTAAGGACTTGGCCTAAGGATGCTGAGGGGACACACCGGGCATGCAGGATGTAGGTGCAACAGCCTGCCCTTGACAGGACGCGATGTCAGAATGACAACAGTGACAGCACCAGCAGCTGCTGACACGGGAAGCAGCTCGGTGCCAAATGTTGGCAGAATGGCCTCAGAAGCCCAACTCTCACTCGCTTCCCCCTTGTGGATGAGGACCCTGGGCTCTTCAGGATGGTCAGATCTAGCTTTTGAATAAACTAAAGGCCAGGGAAGTTCCTCATGGTTCCTGGTTGGAGGAAGGGGTGGTAGGAGCTGGCTCTGGCTGTTGTTGAGGTGAGGCAAGGTGGCCCTTCCTGGAGGAGGCTGAGGCTGGTCAGCACTTGGGTGGGGCTGGGCAGGCCACTGGGAAGCCAGTTCCTGCATGCTCTTCCCTAGTACTGCTTCCTTCCTGACCCTTCCTGTTTCCTTTTCTTCATTGTTCAGCCGGGTGGTTGTCATCCTCACCCCTCCCTGGGCCTGCCCAGGCAGGATGTGCAGGCAGGAGGTTCAGTTTTCAAAGTCGAGTGTGGATTAAACACCTTGAACCGCAGGCTCAATGAGGCTACAACAGTAGCTTTTGGGTTATGTGTATTTTACCAAAATAAAAAGAATTGAAGGGCCGATGAGATGGTTCAGTGGCTAAAGGTGCTTGCTACCAAGGCTGGGGGCCTGAGTTCAGTCTCTGGAAGACCCATCACATGGTAGAAGGAGAGAAAACATTCGTTGGTGTGGTTCTCTGGCCTCCACACTGGGTCTGTGGTATGCACATGAGCTCCCCTCCAAATATATTAACGATTGCTAAATTTTAAAATGAAAATTATAAAAAGAAAGAAAAGTGATTCCTGCTCACTCAATGTGACGCTCCATCACCATGAAACATTCATTATTTTCCACACGCTCTCATCTCTTTTTATTCCAGGAACAGACAACATAGGAAGAGGTGAAAAGCTGGGGGCTTGCAGCCCCATAATGGGGGCCTCTGGCTTTAGGGAGACATGGCAGGGAGATGTCATGAGTTTGGGTCCCAGATGGGCCCTCCCTCCTTGCTGCCTGCAGCCTTGAGAGTCATGGATTGCTTCCTATTGCCCACGTTTCTCCTAAAGCACCAGGGTTGGCAGTGATGTCCTCTTCGGTGGGTAGGGCCTTGTTGGTGCATTTCACTCTACTATGGTTTGAGCATCATGATAGATGATTTTGTTTCCATTCTATGGGTGTGTGCCTGCATCTCTGTCTGTGCATCACACAGATGCCTGGTGCCCTCAGAGCACAGAGGAGGGTGTTAGATCCCCTGCAGTTACAGTGGAAGTTCCTCATGGTTCCTGATGTTATGAGTTGCCATGTGGGTACTGAGAACCAAACCCAGGTCCTCTGCAAAAGCAGCCAATGCTCTTCACCCCTGAGGCTCCAGCCTCCTGCATCCCGTTCCTACCTCCCCACAGTGCTCAGTGGACAAAGGGCTGGATGTGAGGCAGGGAGACTGCATAAGGGTGCAGCTACTGACTTTCCCTGTGTCCTAAGAGATGCTGGCTCTCCTTGCTGCACCCAGGCTCTTCCCTGTAAAGTTAGGCAGTGGGACAGTGTGAGGACACTGTCTGCTCACCTCTAGCCAAGGGGCTGTGTCTGTGTCTTGAGGTCCACCTTCACCTTCTCATCTCAAAATCATCCAGTGCCTACAGAAGAGGAAGAAGCAGAGGACGACGAAGCCAGTGGAGTTCTTGGCTCCCAGAGTCTAGACCTTTCCCAGTCCCTGGCAGGCCCCACTCTGGCTTCTTCTCACCCCTGCAGGTGGTTGGACTTATGGCACTCACCTCACCATGTAGATTGTAACATCTTTATTTTCTCATGTCTTCTGTGGTCTCCACAGCACTGGACCCAGACTTCCCAGGAACCCAGGGTCCTAGGTTGTGGTTTAGCTGCCACTGAAAGCAAGGAAAAAATGAAGGTAGAGACTCCAAGCTCTGGGTTCTGGAGGAAGAGCTCTCAGGAGGCTGTGTGAGACACTCAAATACTTCACAAGCAGAAACTGGGCGATGGTGTTGCCATTGTGACTGGTAAATAATAAATAATATTGCTATTCCTGATGGGCCTCCCATTAACTATGGGCTGTAGGAAGGGAGGCACTTTGAGCAACAATCTGCTTATACATGGCTACTGCTGGGCACAGAGGGTCAAATCTCATTTGCCAGTGAGGCAGTGGTGACCATTAGTTTCTTCACTACATAGAGGGGACAGTGAGAGTGGTTAGCCAGTGGTGGCGGGGATGAGGCAGGGACCTATGGGATGAGATGGAGACAGCCAGTGCTAGATCATCTGTGGCAGTTGGCATTGTCTACATGACAGTCTAGACTCACAAGGGAGGTGGGCCTGTGGCAGGGCTGACTGATGTGAGGAGACCCGTCTTGATTGCGGGTGGGACCACTCCCTAGGTCAGGAGATCCCCGACTATATAAAGCAGATAAAGCAAACAGCACTAGCATGCTTTTATCTCTGGTGTTTCTTGATTTCAGATTCCGCCGGCTGCTTCAAGCTCCCGCTGCCTTGCCCCTCCCTGCCATGATGGACTGTACCACAAACTGTGAGCCAAAATAAGCCTTTCATCCTTTGAGTTGCTTCTGTGACAGTTATTTGCTAGCTTGAGACAGGACCTCACTGTGTAGCCCAGGTTGGCCTGGAATTCACAGAGACCCACCTGCCTCTGCCTCTCCTGAATGCTGGGATTAAAGGCGTGCACCACCATGCTTAGTATGTCAGAGTGTTTTGTAACAACAACAGGAAAATAAATGAAGACACCAAGGAATGAATAAAATTTCCCCAGAGTGTAGTTCAGAGGCAGTGAGCACCGATTCATTGCTGCCATGGCCGTCATTTTCCCAAGACCTGTTGAACATGGTCTCCCCATTCTCCCCAGCTTCTTGGAAGCCCTCAATCTGCTTTTTGTCTGAATCTGATGGTCCTGTGAAGCATACAGTGACATCTGTCCTTCAGTGTGTCTAGCTTATTTTACTTGCATAATGTCCTTAAGGTTCATTCATGATGTCGCGTGGAATGAAATGTCCTTTATAAAGGCTGAGTGTATTTCTTGTAAGGACATAATTCAGTGCCGAGCAAGGCCTGAGGATAAGTCATGGTGACTCCAGCATTAAGGTCATGGACGCTGGAAGGAACTGACAAAGGGGGTTACGGAAGAGGGGGTGAGGTTGGTGAAGGGGGTGAATGCTTATGGATTTGAGAAAGGGAGTTTGGCTTCTGCCAAGGGCTGCCCTGGGCCATGGAGGACGGAGTCTGAGTTTTGGGCCCCAACTAACAGGTCACTCCTGATCTGGGAGGAGGGCAGGGAGGAAGCCTGTGTGGATGGTGGGTCTGGACCCGGGACAGTCAGAGGAAAAGCTGCAGAGGCAGCAGGTAGATGACACGGCTGTGCAATAAAATGGATGGAGCAGAGAGAGCGCTTGGAAGATGGTGACACGGGGGCAGCTGTGACACTCCCATCGGTGATGATGCTCAGTTAAAGGAGAACACTGGCTCTGGCTGATGGGAGGAGGCTGGGAGTACCTCTGAGGAAGTGGCTAGATTCTATCTGAGAGGCAGGAAGGGCCCATGAGCAACGGGATGGGAGGCAGTTCTCTTTATTGTCTTGTCTCTGTGAACCAGGAAGCAGGAACCTGAAGAGAGTGAGTCTGAGGAGCTGGGAGGAAGCACAGAAGGGCCACCCAGGGAGAGCACGGTACTGAGTGGATCACTTATTGTCTTGTCTCTGTGAACCAGGAAGCAGGAACCACAAGAGAGTGAGTCTGAGGAGCTGAGAGGAAGCACAGAAGGGCCACCCAGGGAGAGCACGGTACTGAGTGGATCAGGACAGGAAGAGTGTGGGGTGGCGAAGGCTGCTGTGTGCCGCACTGCAGGCTCTCTCTGAGCCAGGTGCCAGGAGTGAGCACTTACTCTTCCTTAATTCTCCGAAGGTTCTGTGATGTCTGTCTTTTTTGTTTATTCTCTCTCTCTCTCTCTCTCTCTCTCTCTCTCTCTCTCTCTCTCTCTCTCTCTTGTGTGTGTGTGTGTATACATGCATGTGTGAGCAGCATTTGTGTGGAGGCCGGAAGATAACTTGGGGAAGCTGGCTCTTTCCTTCTGCTGTGGGACAGAGGACTCAAACTCAGGTCATTAGGTTTCTGTGGCAAGTGTTTTTATCCACTGAGTCGTCTTGCCATGCTCTGTTTTTATCTTTCATTTTATTTGCTTATTTATTTAATTTATTTTTGAGACAGTCTCATATGGCTTAGGCTGGCCTCAAACTTGCTATGTAGCTGAAGATGACCTGGAATTCCTGATCCTCTTGCCTCCACCTGAGCGCCGAGATCCCACACTTGGTTTCATACAACGCTGGGATGGAACTCTGGCCTTCACACACTCTGGTCAAACACTCTGCCAACTGTACAGCATCCTTAGCCCTGGCTTTCATCTTGATGATAAATGACAATGACAATAATCTGAAAGCTTGTGTGCCCCACCCTAATGCTGAAACCACTCCTTCTAGAGCAGTGGCTCTCAACATGTGGGTTAAGACCCCCTTTGGAAGGTTAAATGGCCCTTTCATAGGGGTCACCTAAGACCATCAAAAAACATCAATATTTACATAATATTGGACTCATAACAGAAGCAAAATTACAATTATGAAGTAGCAATGAAACTAATTTTATGGTTGTGGTCACCACAACATGAGGAACTGTATTAAAGGGTCACAGCATTAGGAAGGTTGAGAACCCCTGTCCTAAAGGATGATGCTGATACGCAGAGCCTGTGGAACATGATGAAGGCAGAGGGTGGGGCCCCACAAATGGCCTTATTGTCCTTACTACTTTTGACGATGCTGGGGGTGGTACCCAGGGCCTTGCACATGCTAGGCAAGTGCTGTGCCCTGAGCTCCGCCCCAGCCTTATCTAAAGGCCTTCCAAAAGAGGCCTGTTCATCCATCACCACAAGGATGCAGTGAGAAGGCACTGTCTATGAGGCAGAGAAAACCACTTGCTAGCCATGGAACTCACCCCTTCTGCATGGAGTTGGGACAGCTGTGAGAAGCAAGCCACAGTGCCTTTTCTTTCCCTGTTTGTCTTGGTGCTAGGAATTGAACTTGGAACCTCCCATATGCTAAGCAAGCACTTTGCCACTGAGCTGTAGTCCCAGTCTTGCTCTGGCTGTTTATAAACCCAGTGATCTACGGCATTTGTTGAAGTCACCTGGGCAGACTGAGATGGCAGGAGCTTCTGCTGTCCATCATGTGACCTGCAGGTCTGACCCCAGAGCTAGGCTCTTAAGAAGCCTGTCCAGACTCTGGGGAGATGGCCCTGTTGCTGAAGGGCCTGCTGTGCAAGTATGAGGACCTAAATTTGGAATCTCAGCGGCCACATAAAAAGTAGGGTGTGATAGTGCAGGTCTGCAATCCCAAGGGTGTTGGACAGAGACAGATGGGCCTTGAGGGTCACTGGCCAGCCAGTCTCGCTGTTTGTGAGATCTAGGTTCAGTGAGAGCCAGTCTCGCTGTTTGTGAGATCTAGGTTCAGTGAGAGCCAGTCTCGCTGTTTGTGAGATCTAGGTTCAGTGAGAGCCAGTCTCGCTGTTTGTGAGATCTAGGTTCAGTGAGAGCCAGTCTCGCTGTTTGTGAGATCTAGGTTCAGTGAGAGCCAGTCTCGCTGTTTGTGAGATCTAGGTTCAGTGAGAGCCAGTCTCGCTGTTTGTGAGATCTAGGTTCAGTGAGAGACCTTGTCTCAAAAAATAGGATGGAAGACAATAAACGAAGACACCCAACTTCAACCTCTGGCACGCGCGCGCGCGCACACACACACACACACACACACACACACACAAAGGTTATTTTGTTAACTTTTAAAATCCTGTTTCTTTTTTTCCTTGTAAAAGACTGGTGGTTATTTTACAACATTTGGAAAATTCAAAGAAATGAAATTATGAAAAGTCCTCAATGCTTAAAACTCCACTGCCCCAAAGGGAAATCCCTGCCAGCCTGCCTGTTATGGCAGGTGGAGCTGCCCATCTTCAGATCTCTCCGCTCCAGGAGTCTTGCAAACAGCTGGACTACATTTCCCAGCCTCCCCTGCGGAGAGAGCAGCACATGACTCAGCTCTCACCAATGGGATGTGGGAGAGAGTGAAGTCACCCTATTCTGGGACACAGCTCATAAGATTTATGAGGCTTTGAGGGATCCTAGGCCTGCTGACGCTTTGACCTCTGACCTCTGCCCTTTAGAACTGTGAGGAAGTGTCTTCTTACTCTATTAAAGACCAGTTGTTGTGGTGTCACGTGTGGGTCCCTCCCCTCCCGGATAGAAGTCACCACAGGACTCCCGCAGAGTGGACCCACCCCACTCCTTCCCTCCCACAGTGTCTGAAGGGAGCAATGATCTAGTTTGTCTATCCTTTGAACTCTTGAGTCGAGAGACCGTCCCTCTGCAATGTCCGCTTCTGCGATGGAGTCTCAGGCTGGCTTTTGTTGTTAGTCCTGCTTTGTCACACTCAGTCAGCTCGGAGGCGTAGCTCCAGCGGTTGCACTACAGCCACCAGAGCTACTTACTTACAGTTCTACACAGCCAGACTGTAGGTTGTCTTCACAATTTGCTTCTACCAACAGTGCCTCATGAGAAGGCAGACCGCTCTACCTCAGGAGGCTGTCCTAAAGACTGGGGCAAAGAGACGTGTCCCGTCTATCTCTGGTGTGGTCCGTGTCTGGCTTCACATCACTACGTAGCTGAAGATGGCTTTGAACTCCCAACCTTCCTGTCTTTATCTCCCGAGCACTGCGATAACTGGCGTGGCTCCTGCATGCTAGGTGGCTACTCTGCTTGGCGATAGATCCCTTTTCATGTGTTTTCTGATGTAGCGCTGGCCCTTGCTTTGCCCCAATGCCAGTGGAGCTTCTGATCAGCTCACCACCACTTGAAGTTATAAGAATGAGGTGCTGGACCAACTGGTCTTTTTTATTTTTTCTTCTTTTTTTTTTTTTTCTGAGACAGAGCTTCTCTGTGTGACAGCTCTGGCTATCCTGGAGCTCACTCTGTAGACCAGGCTGGCCTTGAACTCACAGAGATCTGCCTGATGCTGCCTCCCGAGAGCTGGTATTAAATGTGTGGGTCACCACTGCCCTGTGGACAACTGGTCTTTAATACAATAAGAACATACTTCCTCACAGAGGTCAAAGGTCAAGGTGTCAACAGGCCTAGAAGTCCTCAAAACCACATAAAGATATCTACTTAAGTATATCCACAACATCCCCCAGTTTACTTATTTTTATGGGATTTTACTATGTAGCAAACTCCCATTTATTTATTTTTGTGGGGTTTCACCATGTAGCCTGTCTGGCCTGGAACCTGTCATGTAGACCAGGCTGGCCTGAAACTCACTGAGATTCATCTGCCTTTGCCTCCAGAGAGCAGGCAGTAAAGGTGTGTGCCACCACACCCAGAAAAGACCCCATTTCCAAATTAATAAGGTCATATTTATGGGTACTAGGGATAGCACTTCAACTGTATCTTTCCTGTGTGTGTGGTACATGTGTGAACAGGTGTGCACATGCATGCATTGTACACACAAGCAGGGGTCAGAGGGCAATCTTGGGTCTTATTCTTCAGCTCCTTCTACCCTTTGTTAGAGACGGGGTCTCTCATTGGCCTGGAACTCTACCAAATAAGTTAGACAAGCTGGCCTGCTAGCTCTGGGGCTCTGCTTGCCTGAT